AGAGGATGTCTGACGCCGTCTAACCGGAGCCCTAGTCCTGGCTTAACCACGCGCCTGAACTCCAGCCCTTCAACCTAAGCCCAGTCTGGATCCAGATGTGGACCCCACCGGTCACTCCAGACCGAGTTCTATTCAGTAGCACCAGCAACTGATCACGAGACGCAGTGATGGCCCCTTTACCAAGCCTTTCCATGAGGAAGCTTGAAGAACCCCACCGCCCATAAAGCAACCAGGCAAAGCAAACGGGGTGATTACCTTGAGCAGTGTAGACTAATTCGCTGTAGATTGCGGGGTGGATCACAGGGCACGGGAGCTCGTGGAGGTACCACTTCAGTGCCTCGGCCAACGTCTGCCCGTCAAACGGGTCCGTGTCTACAGCTGCTGCATCTGGAAGGGAAGAGGAGGAAGAACGTCACTCCCATAGGCCAAAGATACAGACGAGCTGGGGGGAAATGTCTGCCCCAGAGCAAAACCCTTCATGGTCTGGAGGGATCCTGCCCCGAGGCTGAAACTGACCAATCCTCACGGTTGAGATACGCACAGCAATCACTGGAGACAACAATGGTACTCATGGCTGGCCTGGGCTAAAGCATCCTATTATTTTTTGCTACCCCATCCTACTCCGTCCCTGCCAAGCCCTTCTTGGTCTCATCCACCTGTTGGGGGAAATCCTGACCCACTGTCATCCTTGGTAAAACTCCCACTGGCTTCAATGAGCCCTGCCTTTCTCCCCTTATGACTTGTTTGTTTAGACTGAAAGCTCTCTGAGGCCGGGATGCTCTCATGCTGTATATCTGTACAGCACCTAGCACAATGGAGTGTGGACCCACAACAATCCTCTGAAGGAGAAGGTCAGTTTTCAATACACTGTAATTCACGGAAAACAATTCAAAGCAAAACAAAACACCATCCACGAAAGCGGATTCTTCCTCCTCAGAGAGAAGCCCGTAACCTGCCTAAAAGTAAACGCTGGCAATTAGAAGAGACAAGCACATCACAAACCATGGGGCATCCAATTATTTTCCCTGTGTCCTCAAACGTGCCCCTTTGAAAAGACGAGTAGCTGCTGAATTACCACCAGGGTGTTACATGCTGAAATTGAGTTTTGAATTGAATGGCTCAGAACTTTGGATTGATTTGTGCATTGGGCTTTAGGAACAGAGACATCCTCCCAAATCACACAGACGGGAATCACTGAAATGCAGCTGCCTCTCGAGTTGGGCACGGCAGTGTGTCATGCACAAAGTGACACTATAAGGAAGTGAATGGAATTGGTCTGGGATGCTGGTGGCAGTGCTGAAATCTCCCGTCAAAGCGAGCCTCGTGCCGCAGGGGCTGCCGGCTGGGGGAGGGCTCCGTCCAATCCAGCTGGGGACAGACACGTTTCATTCTAGCACCCTAGCAGCAGCAATTGCAGCAACGCTCCGCTGCATCTCCCAACAGGTGCTAGAGCCACTCCGAAAAGAGAGCAGCCCGTCCTGCCGACCTTCGCTCCCTTCGCAGTCTGGAACTCCTTTGCACAGGTCCCTGGATGGCTGCCAAGCCCCCCCGTCCCCCGCGGCTTGGGGCTGGCTTTTGTGTTCAGACCTGGGTCACCGTGTCATCCAGCTACTTAGAAACCCGCAGTTGCTCGGTCCCCTCTCCAATGCACCGCGTGCTAGAGGCCGGGCTGACGGGGCATCGTGACAGCTGTTTACATGAGTGCAGGCCAAGGTGACTGGGAAAGATCAGCGGTGATTGTGAGCCTGGGTGGTATTAATAACTCCTGGTAATTATTAGCACCACAGACTGAGGCCTCTGCTAATTTGCTGGGTTAAGTGTCAGCACGGACGCCGCATCCCAGGCACTGGGACAAGCATTTCCGTGTTTTGAGGCCTCTCAAGGAAAACACCCAGCAGATTTTTGGAATGTGCCGTGTTACCAGGGAACATTTACCGCTAGCGTGACTCCGTTCAGCCCTGCAGACTGACACACAGGATGCACTTGGCCCATCCCGGTGAGTCTTTGCGCCAACAACTCACTTACACCAAACGCTGATTTCATCTCCGTTGTGCGCTCTTCGGCCAAAAGCCTCGGTTTTGCCGGTGGGGAAACTGAGGCTCAGAGCGGTTAAAGTGACTTGACCCAAGTTCACAGGCCAAGAAAGGAAACACGGGGAGTCCTGTCTCCAAGTCCTCTGCTCTAACCACTTAAGCACACTCCCTTTGTCCCATCCGCCTACCCTGAGTTATAGCAGATAAGGACAACTGGAAACACTTGACCATTCTGGATAAAAGTCACGGCACGTTTCTCACTTCGTGCATGGCGGCGTGAGTAAAGGCAGCTCCGGCTGAAACCCTTTGACGCTGGTGACTCCACTGGTGTCCCAGCTGCTGTGGTGTGCTGTGCTCCTAGGGGTATGCAGTGGGTGCAGTGCCCTTGACTTTCCCCCATCATCCTCGACAAAGGCCTTTGCTGTATATTCGCAGGACAGCCATCCACAGATATGTGGCATGATGCTGGTCTATGCCATAGCTACATTGGTTAGAAGTGAAAAACCCCCCACCATCCTAGCTGACAGCCCTGCTGGCCAAATCTCTAGTGTAGGTGCAGTTCTACTGGACAAAGAGCTTTTGAGGGTATAGCTTATTTTGTTTGGGGAAATGGTATAAGGTATAATGACAAGATGTTCCTGGCAGGGACTGTAACGATTGGGTAGCGCTGAGCACAGGGTTGGTGTTACACAAGTAAAGAATGCCAGTTTTCCCCAGACGCAGCCTTAACTGGCCTCTGCAGCTCTTGGGAGCTACCAGACTCGTGTACAGGCTCGTAGAGGGGCCACTTGTACCTCTGATCCTGCCAAGGCCCCATTGTGCGACAACGACCCGCAATGGGGTCGGGGGGGATGACACAAAAATTGTTCATGCAGGAAACTTAACATGCCACAGGACTCATTGCTTGGGTGTCAATTTGTCTGTCTAAAACCTGGCCTGAAAATAGGGCAGTAAATCCACTGGGGAGAGCTTTAACTCCCGCCCGGAGAGCCAGACACAATGCAAACTGGGGATGGCTCTTTCAATAGTTGTGGTTATCCCCTTACATCAAATGACCCTTGTTTTAAGCATTAGGGCCTGACTCTGGTTCACGTAGCCTGATGCAAATCAGGAGTGACTCTGCTGAGCTCAGTGGAGCTGAAGGGATGTCAAACCTGGGGCTACAGATCACAGAGGTACTGGAACGGGGCGGGGGGAGATCAGGGGGCCACCCCCATACACACTTTTAGGGACCTTCTGCTGCTCCTGGCGGGTCATCTTTCTGGATCCCTCTTCAGAGGCTTTCCAGGGGCAGACACAAAGATTAAGGGCAGTTGCGATGGGAGAGGGCTACATTCAGATATGAGCAGGAAAATAAAGAAACGAGCGGAGCTCGAAAGACGAGTTACTACAAAGACCAAGATACCCCAGCCTAACCTGAGGTGGAATTATCCATAACCTGGCCCCTAACTAGAGTCAGGAGCTACCCGAGGCCTCTCTTACCCTGTCGCGCTACGGGAGTCGAACCCACAACTTGGCCTGCTGTTCATTCCCCAAGAGGGGTAACTGAGATCCAGTCCTTCAGGCTGCTCGCCGGCTGGGCCTGGGACTTCAGTTCCATTGCAGACACTAGTCCTCTGTAGCTGGTGTTTTCCTGGCCCTCAGGATGGCAGGCAGCCGACCCAGCCATCTGAGGCACTAATCCTCCAATCTTCACCTCACATAATGGGGAGAGGTGACCCCCACTTTCACTGAGCCTCGACAAAGTTTTGGTCTAGGCTCCAGGTCATGTTTTGGTCAGTGGTGTGAGCGCCCCCCTGGCTTCTTCTATACAGGGCCACTGTGAGGCACTTGAAAGAAAACCCTGGTCAGTCCCTTATTTACAGGAGACAAAAGAGGCCTTCACTTCACGCTTGGCTTCGTGACCAGATAGAAAACCACGCTGAACAATGCCAGAAGCGAAACCTCTAACCCAGCAATTGGAGACACTACCTCATAGTCAGTGCTGACCACAAGCCTGACCTCGGAGCGACTCCCCCGGGGGAACGGCAGGTTCAAACCCAGTGGCTAGGTCCATGAGAAAACAGACTCGAAACGAAGTCAGCCTGGGGCAGCAACCTGCCTTGGCCAAGTGTGACACAGAGCAAGGCGTATGCTGCGTTTGTGCTGCATTCCCAGGAGCAAAAGGCTGGGACATATCACGGTGATTTTCCCTAGGATTACGATGATTGGAAGAAATGGAAATGTACCAGCTACAAATGCCATGGTAATAACCCTTAGCAGTTCCTCTATTGCCATCTTAGAGCACAGATCTGCAAGCAGAAACTCTGCATGTGTTATTAATTGGATGCACTGGACGGTGGTAGCTGTTTGGGGCACCACTGGTGTCATGTGACGGGTATTTGCACTTGGGCTGGAGCCAGGGTATAAAACCCAGTTTCTCCCCAGGACATCTGTACCCCACTTCTCTGACCCTTCCCAGCTCTTTCTGCTGTTCTTCTAGACAGAATGTGGGGGGATTTGATAGCAGCCTTCAACTACCTGAAGGGGGGTTCCAAAGAGGATGGAGCTCGACTTTTCTCAGTGGGGGCAGATGACAGAACAAGGAGCAATGGTCTCAAGTTGCAGTGGGGGAGGTCTAGGTTGGATATTAGGAAACACTATTTCACTAGGAGGGTGGTGAAGCACTGGAATGGGTTACCTAGGGAGGCGGTTGGAATCTTCTTCCTTAGAGGTTTTTAGGGCCCGGCTTGACAAAGCCCTGGCTGGCATGATTTAGCTGATGTTGGTCCTGCTTTGAGCAAGGGGTTGGACTAGATGACCTCCTGAGGTCTCTTCCAACCCTAATCTTCTATGATTCTATGATTTTTCCTTTGGCAATGTATTTTTCTTTTTTATTATCAATTACAATATTGTTACAAGCTGTGAGCAACCTTGTTATGAGTTGAATTAAAATCACATTGAGATTGATAGGTGTGAATTCGCCCTTTAATTAACGTCACTGTAAGCATACGCCCCCATCTAAAACAAAAGGTATAGGTGAACCCATCCAGGAGCTTTTTTGAGTATTGTTTTGGGTGTTCTTGGGTTCTTTTTATGTTCAGAGACGTAGAGTTTTGTTCCTTCCTTGGTAAATAAACAAGACTGTGTCCAAGAAAATCCCAGCCGCCATCAGTTTCTATTTCCAGCTGGGACATCCCCAGGGCCCTGAACTCTGTCTAGCTGCTCAGGTCAAAAAGGAGCAACAGTATAATATAAAATTTAAAAAGTTGAAACCAAATGTTTTTAATGACCTGAAATGGCACTTCTCCCTGCCTCCAAATTCACGTCCCTTCCCCCCACCCCCAAAATTCACTTCACGGAAAACTTCTGAAA